CAGCTAGCTGCAGCTAGCTGTGGCTGGGCGTCAGTATACAGAGTTACTTGGCGCCCACTACAGCTAGTCACAGCTAGCTGCTGTCCTCCACACTAGCTGCAGCTAGCTGCAGCTAGCTGCGAAGATGCACAGCTAGCTAAAACTTTGTGCAGCTAGCCAAACCTGGCTGTAGCTAGCTGTAGCTAGCTAGAAGCAGCAGCGAGTCGTGGACAGCAGCTAGCCACAGCCAGCCGCAGCTAGCTGCTGCTAGCTGCGGCTTATTGCCGCAGCTAGCTACAGCCTGCTGCAGCTAGCTGCAGCTAGCCCTCCCCCGCCTTTGCTTCTTTTAGTATCTGGAGGCGTCACGACACTTCATTTGATGTTACTGCTGTTGCTGCTGTTGCTGCTGTTGCTGCTGTTGCTGCTGTTGCTGCTGCGAAGCGGCCGATTCACGTGCATGCGAGGAAGAAGCTGCAGCTTTGCTGCTGCTGCTGCTACTGCTCTTGCAGTCAACAGAGTGCAGCAGCAACAGGTTACCGGAGCAGCAGCTGCTGCTGCTGCAGTGGCTGCAGCAGCATCAAACTGTGATTGCTGCTTAAGCCGCACCCCTGCCACGGCTCCTGCTGCCCCTTCCTCCTACGTGCCGGCTGCGGCTTGCTGCTGCTGTTGCTGCTGCTGCTGCCTTTGCTGCTGCTGCTGCTGCAGGGACATACGACCCCCTGCCCCTCTGAGAAACGCCATCTCCAATAAGCACTGTTTCCACTTCGGCTGCAACAGCAGCAGCAGCAACAGCAGCAGCATCAGCACAAAGATTGAGACAGGAACAGCACCAGGAGCCGCAGCCACAGCAGAACGCAGCAGCTCGACAAGCAGCACCGACAGCTGCAGCAGCAGCAGCAAAAGGACTAGGATTAGCAGCCGTTGCAGAAGCAGTAGTTGTAACAGCAGCAGCAGCAGCAGCGACATGAAGGCTGCAGCACAAAGACCACGAGCAGCCCCCCCAGCAGAAGCAGCAGCTGGCCCCACAACAGCACCAGCAGTAGCAGCCGCAAGACGCCCAGTCTTCTTGCAGCAGCAGCAGCAGCAGACACGGCAGCAACAGCAGCAGCAGCAGAAGCGGCAGCAGCAGCAGCAGCAGCAGGGCTGACTGTCTTCATCCAGGGGAGCTAGAGGGAATATTTCCTTGTGTTTGAAAAAAGAAACCAAAACAAAAATAAACCACAGCAGCAAATGCATGCAGCAGTATGGGGCCAGCAGCAAACCATAAACAGAAACATAAAAGATGAAGCCGCAGCCCCACACCACCAGCGAGTTCAGGGAGGCCCTAAAAAGCAAAACAAAAACAAATAAATTAGTTAATTAATTAAAAAAATAAAATAATCAATTAATAAACGATAATAAATGAATAAATAGTTGTTAATGGATTGGAAAGGCAGAAAGAGCGGAAAAAACGAGCGGACACAGACAGAAACAAATGTTGAAGTTGAAACAGCAGCAGCAACTGCAGCAGCAGCTGCTGCTGCTGCAGCAGCAGGTGCAGCAGCAGCATCAACCGCTCCGCAATCAGCAGGTGCACACCAACGCAGCAGCAACCATTAGCAGCAGAAGCAGAAGCAGCAGCGGCATCACCATCAAAATCACCAGCAGCAGCAGCAGGTTCATCGTCATCACAAGCAGCAGCAGCAGCAGCACTATCAACATCAACAGCAGCAGTAGCAGCAGCAGCACCATCGTCATCATCACCAGCAACAGCAACACCATCATCATCACCAGCAGCAACAGTGACATCATCATCCCAAGCAGCAGCAGCAGCAGCACTACCATCGCCATCACCAGCAGCAGCAGCAGCAGCAGCAGCAGCAGCACCAGAAGTAGTGGAGCTCGAGGGTAGGCCTGTAGGGGGGGCTTAGTTTGTCCACTTGCAGCACATGAGTCAGCACGGAGCTCATCCACAAGACGCAGCAGGCCAGAAACACAGACCCCACCAGCTGCATCGGGGTTCCAAACCCTGCACTCCAACCCCAAACCCTAAACCCTAAACCCTAAACCCTAAACCCTAAACCCTGAACCGGGGCCCCCCCTCCGCCGGCGACGCCGAGGGCTTAGGCGCTAGGGCTTCGCAAACTGAAGCTAGCGCAAGGAGCAGCAAACAAGGCCCCAAACCCTAAACCGTAAACCCTAAACCCTAAACCCTAAACCCTACCGGTCAGCCAAGCCAGCGTCACCTTCGCAGCACTCTGGACCACAATGGCCACTTGCGTCAGGCACAGCAGCAGCGGCAGGCCCCGCAGCCGACACAGACATCGCCTGCAGCAGCAGCAGCAGCAGCAGCAGCAGGGAGAGGAAAGGAACCAAGCAAACTAAATAAACACGAGGAGACCACAAAAGAGCGAGACCAGCAGCAAGAGGAGTCCTTCCCCCTAAACCCTAAACCCTGTCCCCTAAACCCTAAACCCTAAACCCTAAACCCTAAACCCTAAACCCTAGGCTCACGAGCCCCAAAGCAAAGAAACGTAACTCCCCAGCCTGTAAGGGTCTAGTCCAAACTTGCGGCAGCAAAGAAGACAAGTGGCTCCAGCAGCATAAAGCTCCACGAAGCCCCAGCTGCTCACGACGCTGCGAGACACTGGCCTGCAGCAGCAGCAGCAGCAGCAGCAGCAGCGGCAGAAGCGGCAACGGCAGAAGCGGCAGCAGCACAAGCGGCAGCAGCAGCGGCGGCGGCAGTGGCAGCACAAACACGCGGAAGAGGTTCAACAACGTCAAGATCAGGAAGCCAGTCAGCCCAAACCCTAAACCCTAAACCCTAAACCCGAAACCCTAAACCCTAAAGGTCCCTATTAAATGCAGCGAAGTTCAGCGGGCCCCACAAAGCTTCGTTAAGAGCCCCGAAACCCCAAACCCTAAGCACGCCCCAACCCCTAAACCCTGACGCACCAACTCAAAACCCCTAAACCCTAAACCCTAACCCCCAAACCCCAAACCCTAAACGCCAAACCCTAAACCCTAACCCCCAAACCCTAAACCCTAAACGCCAAACCCTAAACCCTATACCCTAACCTCTACACCTTGACCCCCATCCCCTATCCATCCCCCAGCCTCTACCCCCTAACCCCTAACCCTTAGCCCCTAAACCCTAAACCCTGAACCCTGAACCCTGAACCCTAAACCCTAAACCCTAAACCCTCTGACAAGTTGGAGCCGAAGGAGAAGAAGCTGAGGTGGCTGCAGGTTTGCAGCGAGTAAAGACTTCGCTCGACGCCGCCGTAAGTCCGCAGCCCCAGAGAAGCTGCGTGGAATCCCACGCAGTACAGCAGCAGGTGCAGCGACAGCCACACAGCTGCAGCAGCAGCAGCAGCAGCAGCGAATGCGGCGGCAGGGAGTGGCGCACAGCGAGGGGAGAGGCAGCGGAGGGCGGACCAGCAGCAGCAGCAGCAGCAGCAGCCGCGAAAGAAGCGGCTGCTGCTGCAGGGATTGTAGCAGCAGCAGCAGCGGCAGCAGCAAAAGCGAGCGCAGCAGCAGCAGCAGCAGCAGCAGCGGAGGCAGCAACGATGAAGGAATGGACAACAAGAACACAAGCTACACAGGACCTGCAGCTTCCGCAGTTGCTGCGAGAACAGCTGCAGCCGCTGCAGCTGTGGCGGCAGCAATAGCAGCAGCAGCAGCAAGCAGCAGCAGCAACTGCAACAGCGACAACACCAGCAAAAACAGCAGCAGCAAAAGCAGCAGCGGCAAAACTATCAGCAATAAGAAACTTTAGCACGGACAGTTCCAGCATATAAAAGACTCCTGTCGCCTAGTCGCCGACAAAGCTGCAGCAGCAACAACAGCAGCACAAACAGCAGCAGCACAAACAGCAGCAGCAGCAGCAGCATTTTAGTCAGCAGATCTGCAGGCACAGCACGCAGGCCAGCTGCTGCTTCGCTCCAATAAACGCAGCAGAAGCAACAGCAGTAGACAACGTTGCAGCAGTCGCAAACATGCGGAATTCCTGCAGCAGCAGCAGCAGCTACTG